CAAACGTGGCATTATCGGTGCATTTATTTTTTTAAAAAGATTTTATTTATTTATTTGAGATAGAGAGACAGTGAGAGAGGGAACGCAAGCAGGGGGAGTGGCAGAGGGAGAAGCAGGCTTCTCGCTGAGCAGGGAGCCCCATGCGGGGCTCGATCCCAGGACCCCGGGATCATGACCTGAGCTGAAGGCAGACGCCCAATGACTGAGCCACCCAGGCGCCCCTCCTGGTGCATTTAAAAAACTATATGTAGGGCGCCTGGGTGGCTCAGTCGTTGAGCGTCTGCCTTCGGCTCAGGTCATGATCCCAGGGTCCTGGGATCGAGCCCCACGTCGGGCTCCCTGCTCCGCGGGAAGCCTGCTTCTCCCTCTCGCACTCCCCCTGCTTGTGTTCCTGCTCTCACTATGTCTCTCTCTGTCAAATAAATAAATAAAATCTTAAAAAAAAAAAACAAAAAACTATATGTATACAGTTCCTGGAAGCAACTTCCACGATGATGGTCCTGCGAAGCATGTGCCCCTTCCTGCAGACACACACACACACACACACACACACACACACACACGACACTTGTTAGTAGTGCAAGAAATGTGTTTTCAAAAGGAAACCATGAAATATTCCTCATTAGCAGATTGGCTACAAAAGTGATGCCCATCAAGCCATTGGAAAGAGTGGTGAATCCAGAATCAGGACGCTCGAATGCCAAGAGTCATCCTGGAGGCTGTTGAATGCAGATTCTGACTCGGGGGCCTGGGAGGGCCCACGGTGCCACATTCCCTGCAGGCCTCTGTTAATGCTGCTGCCCGATCCCAGGCTGCTGATGTGGAAAGAAACCTAAGCTGTATCTCTCATCAACTGCAAAACAATAGATGCTATTTTGGTAAAAAAAAATAATAATAATCATAATGCAAGTTAATATATACACTGAATATCCAGAAGGTATGTATTTCTGGAAAAAAAGAGCATATGGTGGACTTCTCCCTTTTATGTTACGTATGTAACTATAATGCTTCCAATTTTGGGCGCCTGGGTGGCTCAGTCGGTTAAGCATCTGCCTTTGGCTCCTGTCATGATCCCAGGGTCCTGGAATCGAGCCCCACATTGGGCTCCCTGCTCGGCGGGAAGCCTGCTTCTCCCTCTCCTGCTCCCCTTGCTTGTGTTCCTTCTCTTGCCGTGTCTCTCTCTCTCTGTCAAATAAATAAATAAATAAATCTTAAAAAAAAAAAAAAAGACTCTTTCAGAGGACAAAAAGCCACTCCAACCTGTCTGGACCAGGCCCTATCAGTTCTCCTGACCACTCTAACCACAGTAAAACTTCACAGCTTCTCCCTATGGATCCATATTTCCAGAGTCAAGACTGCTTCAGCCCCAGATGAGGAGCCCTCTGCCAAGTAAAGCTGTAAGCTGGTTGGAGATTTATTTATGTTATTCAAACAAGACTTGGGTAATACACATCTAAAGGCCTAGTGGTGGGGCGCCTAGGTGGCTCAGTCATTAAGTGTCTGCCTTCGGCTCAGGTCATGATCCCGGGGTCCTGGGATCGAGCCCCACATCAGGCTCCCTGCTCTGCGGGAAGCCTGCTTCTCCCTCTCCTGCTCTCCCTGCTTGTGTTCCCTCTCTTGCTGTGTCTCTCTCTGTCAAATAAATAAATAAAATCTTTTTTAAAAAATGGTTCCTTTTTTTATGGTGAGCAGGAATTATTCTGCATCAGAAAAAAAAATTTTAATCAATAGATGCATTGAAACAAAAAAAAGTTTGTGAGCCTAAGTGTTATGGACAGAATATTTGTGCCCCCACAAATTCATGTGTTCAAGTCCTCACCCCCAGTGTGATGGTGTCCGGAGGGGGGACCTCCGGAGGTGAGTAGGTCAGGAGGGTGGAGCCGCAGGATGGGATTAGTGGTTTTATAGAAGGTACCCTGAGCCCTCCCTCCCCCTTCCACCAAGTGAGGACACAGAGAGAAGATGTCATCTGTGAACCAGGTAGGGGGTCTCACAAGACACTGAGGCTGCCAGCGCCCCGACCTTGGACCTCCAGCCTCTGGAACTGTGAGAGATAAATGCTGTTTAAGCGCCCGTCTCTGTGCTCTGTTATGGTCGAACGAAGACACAGAGTTAAAGGCTACGCTTTAAATTGTATATCATATTACTCTTAATAGATCATTCGTGCTATTATTTTTAAAAAGCTGTCAGGCAAAGCCCCAACCCGCAATTTTTTCCAGGCTGGGGGACAAGTGTCTGATGCAACAGCCTTGTGTCTGCCCTTCCACTCTGACCCGCCTCGGTCAGCCCCGCAGGCAAGAGGATGAGCTTCTCACAGCGCAAATCTATTTAGGCCACCCCCGAACACTCTTACCCACGTCTGCACCTAAAGCATTTCCCTGGTTTCCTGGTGCTCCCAGAATGGGGGGGGGTGCAAACCTGTCACACCTGGCCCCTGCCCCCCTGCGCCTGTGTTCTGCGCACCCACTTGCTAGCGACCCTTTGCTGCATCAGTCCCTGTGCCATTAATGGGCGCTTTGACGCTTGCATTCCTTGTCTTGGCAACGGGACGGTGAAGCCTCTGCTCCCCCCACCCCAGCTGCTCTCACTAGGGAAAAAGAACGTCCTCCCCAACCCGCTGCCCGAATCCCTGCCCAGTGGGACTATGGCGGTGTGCAGGTCTGGAGATGCCGAGCTCCTCCAACCGAGAAGTAGCCAGAACAATGCCGAAGACCTCCCTCGCTTTAGGATTTCAGGGTTGAAAACTGCCCCCAAGATTTACCCACATCAATCCCTCACGGAGTCAGAATCCGTGGCTTCGGAGCTGGGCAACCTCTGCCGTCAGAAAGCCGGAGGCCGCCCAGGGCTCCGAGTGATTCACGAATGCCCGCTGATTTGGGAGACCACTGACATCGACGGCGCAGTGACGACGTGCCAAACCCCTTCTAAGGACTTCGCATTACTGAATGGATTTAATTCATTGGTTCCTGTCAAAATGGGTTAGAAACAAGGGCCTCCATCTCCCTCTTCCCAGTGAGTATCAGAGAAATTATTCAACGAGAGGGGAGCATGGACCCCAGGGCGTAACAGCAGAAGCGAGACCCCGCAGAGCCTGGAGGTGAGGACACGTGGAGACAAGCTTTCTCATCCCCGCTCTTGCTTCGCCCTTGCACACGACCAGGGCCCAGGAGGGGAAGCACCCCAGGAACCTGCTCCCGAGCCCCAGAACCCCAGGACTGGGGGCTGCCCCTAGGGGACCCTGCCTCCCCTGATGCTTCTCCCCAGGAACCTAGACAGTGATCTACACAGGTGGACAATGCTGCATCTCTCTGCACTGAAGGCCCCTACGTTCAGCCTTTGACATACTCATTCCCAGAGTGTTGGTAGCCCAGGCGAACAAGCCCTCACAGGGAGACCTGAGGAGCACCGCAGCCCCCAGTCAAGATGAGAAAGGAGACCACTAGCAGCATCGGACTCGGAGTGAGGGTGTGACAGACCAAGAACCGAGAGCCTGGCAGAGCCACTGAGGGGCAGCAAGAGGGGAGCAGT